CTCAGTGCCAGTCCCGCCCCCTCCCCTCCAACTGCCCTAGTGCCAGCTCTGCTCCAGCCCAACTGTCTCAGGCCCAGTCCCCGCCCTCCAACTGCCTCAGGCCCACAACCCCTCCCTTCCCCTTCCTCCAACTGCCTCGGGCCAGCCCCACCCTCTCCCCTCCAAGTGCCCTAGTGCCAGTTCCGCTCCAGCCCAACTGCCTCAGCCCCACCCCCTCTGTTAAACTGCCCTAGTGCCAGCTCTGCTCCCCTCCAACTGCCTCAGGCCCAGCCCTGCCCCCACTCCAACTGCCTCAGACCCAGCCCCAACTGTCACCGAATCCTATCCCCCCCTTTCCTAGCCCCAACACCCAGCTCCCACCCCTGAACCTGCCGTTTGCCACGTCCCATTTGCCTCACTCCCTCAACAAATCCCTGCTCTGCAGGTCTAGCACCTCCCCATTACTCCCTCCCTGATTGGCTCCCACGTGAATCTCCCTCAGTCAACCGTTTTCCCCTCTCTTTCCTTTCCCTTCTATCCCCCCTTTTAACCCCAGCACCTCTCCTGCATCTCCTGATCCCTTCATGGCCCGCCCCACTTGACAAGCTTTGCTCCTTCCTCCCTATTCAGTGCCCCCATGCACCCCTGCTGGGCTATGCTCCTTCTCTGCCTTGGCCATACAAAAGTACAAAGTTTTTGGACTTTGAGTATAATAAAAATCCCGTGACAAATGCGTAGTTGCAGAAGATAAGAAATGTTGTCATTAAAGAATCATAATGTGCTCTCCAAAAATCCCCTTTCTAATAGATTAAAGGGGAAGATAATATACACATACTGAACTATAACACTAAAATGAAGGATTGCTAATGATAAGCTTTGTTACATGTTTATTAGAGATAAGGTAACACACTGCCAAGGTTTTGCCTGGTATTAATGTATTTTATTTCCCTTTCATATAATTTGCTGGCTTAATTTATCTTACCAGCAATATCATTTTAATTATGTGTTGTATTGGAGGATGTAAGCAAGTGGTACAAACATGCAATGATAAACCTTTTTCTGGGAAAATTTATTTAATGTAGATATAGTTTGACCCAGAAATGGCAAATCCAGCAGAAAACAATGTGGACACTAGATAATTGAAGCTTGGAGGAAAGTTGGGCAATGGAGAATGTGAAAATATAAACGAATCCAAGTGAAAATGGGCCCCAAACTGGAGAAACACTGGACCAGAAAGTGAAGAACGAGGCTGAAGATTATAGCAGAGGATCATCACAAAGCAGGTCAAGGAAACCTTGTTATTGGCCTTACTTTTCTGATAGTCATTTGAGATTTCATTCTAGGAAGACTTAAAGACATTTATGAGAGATGTCCTTGGAGCTCATCTCACTGGTCATTCATGCCATCCCCATACTGGCCTTATAGGACAGCCTGGGAAGTCCCTCAATCGACAAAGATGGATTTGACTATCCATTCCAAACATAGATCTCCTCCACCTCTGTCTCTTTTGGAGGATCCATTGCTTCCATGGGTCTCACAATAATTGGACCATCTTGAGCTGGCTTCTGTCCAGCCTGAAGACCTAAGCCCACCCTGAAGATTCATCTCAACAAGAGGAATTATTGCCTCTTTTCACTCTATAATAGTCATGATGAGGCCCTTGTTCCAGAATTCTCAATCCCACTACCAGATGATTTTGAAAACTGACTTCAGGACCAGGCAGGAAGTTCTTCACGCAGCGCACAGTCAACTTGTGGAACTCCTTACCTGAGGAGGTTGTGAAGGCTAGGACTATAACCGCGTTTAAAAGAGAACTGGATACATTCATGGAGGTTAAGTCCATTAATGGCTATGAGCCAGGATGGGTAAGGAATGGTGTCCCTAGCCTCTGTTTGTCAGAGGGTGGAGATGGATGGCAAGAGAGAGATCACTTGATCATTGCCTGTTAGGTTCACTCCCTCTGGGGCACCTGTCATTGGCCACTGGCGGTAGACAGGATACTGGGTTAGATGGACCTTTGGTCTGACCCAGTATGGCCATTCTTATAGTCAATTTCACAGTCATGGGATTTTAAAAATCATCAATTTCATAGTTTCAGATATTTACATCGGAAATTTCATGGTGTTATAACCATGGGGTGCCGACCCAAAGGAGGGTTATGGGGGGTGATGGCATTGTCACCCTTATTTCTGTGCTGCTGCTGACAGAGGCACTGCCTTAGAGCTGGGCAACCGGAGAGCAGCCGATAGTGCAGATGTGAGGGTCAAATATATGGAGGGGGTCATCACTTTTTTGGGGGGTGCAAGCCTAGCCTTACGAGTGGGCAACTGCCCAGGGCCCCATGGTCGGGGGCTGTTGTGGTACCCCCCCCCCACAGTCAGTCCAAGGCCACTTTAACCCCCAAGCGCTGTGTCTGGAGCCAGGGAGGGGCAGCTCCATGGCTGCTCCCTATGTAGTGACTCCTCCCCCCCACAGCTGGAGAGCAATGGGGGAAGGAAGTGGGATGGGAGTGCTGAGCTTCCTGCAGCCAGGAGAGGTTCCCGGAGGTGAGTCTGACCCGGCTCCAGGAGTGGCCCCTGCAGGAAAAGAGAAAGTCCAGTCTCTCCCCAGCCCTGCCAGGACTAGCAGCTGGAGCCCAGTGCATGGTAGAAGCCACAGGGGGGCACCTTTTCTCAGCAGATTTCACTGGGGAGACCAGATGTCATGGCCCTACACTCTCTCTCTTATCAAAACAAGTTTGAGATTGCTTTGACAACCATCACTGGTGGTAAGAAGGGACTGAGGGAGGTTGGGGGCATCTCCACCCTCTTATACCAGCCTACAGTGGATGGAGAGGATGCTCAAGTTGCCCCAGTGGGTACCAGTGAGGGAAGGAGTCCTCTGACAACTGTGCATGAGGCATGTACACATATGCAGTGGAATGGACAAGTGCATGAGCTCAAAGAACAGCTACGTTGCTGCTTCCTAGGGATAGAGAGTTCTAGGGATATATCTTACGGATACAGAGGACAGAACCAGCTTAGAAGCAGGATGAGATTTCTATGAAGTGCTGAGGAGACACTTATGTGAATACAGAAAGAAAAAGCATAAATAAGGACAAAACCTGTTTATTCAGATAAAGTGGAACAGAAGAACAAAATAAACTGACAGTCAAAAAAAGGTAATTCTCCATAAATCTCATGTCATTTGGAGTTTTGACACACCACTAGCTCAGCAGGGTTCCACATGTGCTTTCAATGGCTGAACTGATAAGAAAAACATTGCTTTTTCAATCTTCTAGTATCCTGTTTTTATTAAACAAATAGCTTCCCCTCTACTTTTTAGACCGAATACTGCTTTTCTTCTTCACACTCTTCTAAAAAACACAAACCCAAAACAGTACGAAGATTAAAGCATAGTCTAGCTAACTGGCAAACCTTATGTAACCATATTTAGCTTGCTCATAATCATTCAGGATCTGGCATTCAGAGTTATAAACAGCCATATTCCTTTGGAGCCATTTTTGAAGAAGCAAAAGTCTGTACAACATAGAAAAATTATTTGCTAAACCTACCAGGTTCCATGTGATACGTATTACTATGCCAAAACATTTTTTAAAAGCTCATAAGAGACCTTAAAGGTGTACAGTTAAGCACTCAAGTCAAGACATTTTCTTTCTTTCTTTAGATTTATAATAAAAGTCTCACTATTCATCCATCTTGTCCTTTAGAAAACTATTACAAAATTAAAACATAAATAATCACAGTCCAGGATTATAATAATATATGGAGATATACCTATCTCATAGAGCTAGAAGGGACCCTGAAGGGTCATTGAGTCCAGCCCCTTGCCTTCACTAGCAGGACCAAGTACTGATTTTGCCCCTGATCCCTAAGTGGGCCCCTCAAGGATTGAACTCACAACCCAAACCACTGCGCTATCCCTCCCCCCCTTGATTACTTTATATATAAATAAACAAATAAATATGAGAATATCACAGAGCTCTCGCTGGGATGATTTAGTTGGTGTTGGTCCTGCTTTGAGCAGCAGATTGGACTAGATACCTCCTGAGGTCTCTTCCAACCTTAATATTCTATGATTCTATGATTCTAAAATCCTGATGCCTCCAAGCCTCAGCCAGTTGCATAAACAACTTTAACTCTTCCCCTTATGTGAGTGCTTTAGGATTTTGCATTAATGCTCACATACTGGTTTTCAAATTTCATAGATCATTACACATTGTTTCTACAACCATGCGTGTGTTTCTGTGTATGTAACATCTTGCAATGCATTTTTCACTCTTGAATACTTATACTGATTTTGTTGTAAAATTTCCAGTATAACTTTATTCACTTAGGTCCCAATCCATCAAGTAGCTCCATTAGGGAGAATACCCCCTATGTCCAGTGGAACTTATTGCCAAGAGATGTTGTGAAGGCCAAAAGTATAACCAGGTTAAAAAAAGAACTAAATAAGTTCATGGAGGATAGGTTCATCAATGGCTATTAGATAAGATGGTCAGGGATGCAACCCCATGCTCTGAGTGTCCCTAGCCTCTGATGGCCAGAAGCTGGGAGTGAACGACAAGGGACATCAACTGCTGATTGCATTTCTGTTCATTCTCTCTGAAACATCTGCCATTGGCCACTGTTCAGAGACAGGATACTGGGCTAGATGGACCATTGGTCTGAGCCAGTATGGCCATTCTTATGTTCTTAATTAGGCAGGCCAAAAAATAATTTAAAGAACAACTAGCAAAAGACCCAGAAATTAACAGCAAAAACATTTCTAAATACATCAGAAACAGGAAGCCTGCCAAACAATCAATGGGGCCACTGGATGATTGAGGTGATAAAGGGGCACTCCAGGAAGACAAGATCATTACAGAGAAGCTAAATTAATTCTTTGCATCAATCTCAACGACTCCAGTTTGAACATCTCAGTCAGACTGCCAGCACCATAAGCTCCCGTGGCATCTGAACGCCAAGCTGAGATCTTTGCTCAAGTACCAGCAATGTGTTATCAAAACTTAGTTCACAGTTCTGCTAATGTGTGATTTCTCACAGTGATGTTGTCTCTGCTGGGCTATGAAGGGCCACAGAGTAAAAACTTACTTTGGTCAGTAACATCTGCTGCTCTGGCTGGATATACACAGGGAGTAAGTCTATTAAGTAAGGAGAACCCATTTTTACATAGTCAGTTTTCAGATGACCATTTTCTATCTCAAAATGTGTCATCCAGCATGGGGGAATTTTTTATTAGCCCTCATCGTGACAAATAAAAAAGGGACTGATCACAGAACTCAAAATTAATGGAAAATTAGGTACAAGAGATCATGACTTGGTCACATTTATAATGTGCAATCAGAATAAAGTCCAGACCAGTGATGTATATATTTGATACTTTAAAGGGGCCAATTTCACAAAGCTGAAAACAATTATGAGCCAACTCATCGAAATGTGAATGATAATTGGGAACTGTATAAGAATACTTTACTAGATGCCCCAAAAGCCACAATCCCACAATCAAGGAAGAAGGCTGTATAGATTTAAAAAAATTAGAGGGGAAGTGAAGGCACCTGTAAAAATATATATAACAAAAGGAAGAAAGGAGAAGTTGAAAGGAATGACTATATTTCAGAAGCTAGAAATTTTGGAAAATTGATAAGGAAAGCAAAGGGACCCAAGCAGAAATGCATGGCCAGCAGAGTTAAGGATAATAAGGAGTGTTTCAGTACATTAGCAACAAAAATAATTTTAATTACGGCATTGGTCCATTACTAGATGGAAATGGTTGAATTATCAATAATAATGCAGAAAAGGCAGATGTGTTCAAAAATATTTATGTTATAAATAAATGGAGATATCCTATCTCCTAGAACTGGAAGGGACCTGGAAAGGTCATCAAGTCCAGCCCCCTGCCTTCACTAGCAAGACCAAGTACTGATTTTGCCCCAGACCCCTAGGTAGCCCCCTCAAGGATTGAACTCACAACCCTGGGTTTAGCAGGCCAATGCTCAAACCACTGAGCTATCCCTCCCCCCATACTTGGATAAAAAAATTGAGGATGTAGTCATGTCATAGGAAATACTCTGCACTCCACTAGTATCTCAGAAGGATGTTAAAGTAGTTGCTACTCAAGTTAGATATTTTCAAATCAGCAGGTCTGGATAACTTGATTCCAAGATTTTTAAAAGAGCTGGCCGAGGTGCTTGCTGAACCATTAATGTTGATTTCCAATAAGTCTTGGAACACCGAGAAAATTCCAGAAGACTGGGATAAAACTCATGTTGTGCCAGTATTTAAAAAGGGTAAATATGATGACCAGGTAATTATAGGCCTGTCAGTCTGACACTGATCCCCGGTAAGATAATGTGGTGGTTGATATGGGACTTTATTAAAAGAATTAAAGGGGGTAATATAATGAATGCCAATCAACTTAGCTTTATGGAAACTAGATGCTGTCAAAGTAACCTGAGATCTTTTTTTGATCTGCAGTCAAGTTAATAAAGGAATAGTGTTGATGTAATATACATAGACTCCTGTAAAGCATTTGTCTTGACCAAATAAGGCAATTTCCTGCACTATCTTTGAGAGGTCTTACTGTATTAAGTATGTGTATCGTTGTGGGCCAGGGATTGTAAATAATTCCATGGAAGAGGTAACTACAGTTCCTTCAGGAATTAAGAAAAATGGTGGTGGTGGTGGGGAAGACAGGTGATTAGGTAAATTCACTCAGATTGTAACATCTCCAGAGAAGTACCACCTCCCTGGGTGATGCTTGCATATATTAGTTCAAATTGTATTCCAAACGCCAACAGATAAAGAAAGGACTTTTGGATAAATAGCCTGAGTTTAAACTGACCCACGGCCTTCTTTCTGATCCAGCAAATGGATAGGACCTTTTATCCCCAGGATGGGAGGAAGGTTTGGAAGGATACCTGCCATTGGGGTGGAGTTGGAGTGAGGTGACCTCTGGTGAGCTTTTTAGCATGCATGCAAGTTCTTGTATTATTTTAATCTGTGTTTTTAGTGCTTTCATTTTAAGAATAAATGTGCTTGCTTAGAAAGGGCTGTGTGGTAACTTAGAACTGTGGGCAATTTCAACTGTTCATAGCCTCTGAGGAGAAAGCAAAGTGCAGACATAGGCCAGTTTAGGCCGTCTGGCTTGCTGGGGAACTCACAGTGTAGACAGGAAACTATGCAGCCTAGAAAAACCTTGGTCAGGAGAAAGAGAGATGTAGGTCTCTGCCCAAGAGAGATGATGGCTGACAAGCCAGGAGTCCAGAATGGGTGCCATTGCTGGACCAAATACAGGTGCAGTTGCCCTGAGCTGTGAGTATTTTGATTTAAAATCGAGAAAGATATCAATTTAACATGGCACACATTAAATGGATTAAAAGCTGGATAATGATTAGGTCTCAAAAAGTAATTGTAAATGGGGAATCATCAAACGGGTGTGCTTCTAGTGAGGTCCCAGAGGGATCAGTTCTTGGCTCTAATTTAACATTTTTATTAATGACCTGGAAGAAAACATAAAATCATCACTGAAAGTTTACAGATGACACAAACATTGGGGGAATAGTGAACAACAAAGAGGACAGGTCACTGATACAGATTGATCTGGGCCACTTGGTAAGATGGGCACAAGCCAACAATATGTATTTTTAATATGGCTAAATATAAATGTATATATCTAGGAACAAAGAATATAAGCCATACTTACAGAATAGGGGACTCTATCCTGAGAAGCAGTGACTGAAAAAGATTTGGTGGTCATGGTGTTTAATTAGCTAAACATGAGCTTCGAGTGTGACGCTGTGGCCAAAAAAGCGAATGTGATCTTGGGATGGATAAACAGGGGAATCTTTAGTAGGAGTAGAGAGTGGTTATTTTACCTCTGTATTTGGTACTGGTGCAACTGCTGATGGAATGCTGTATCCAGTAGTCAAGAAGGATGTTGATAAACTGGAGAGAGTTCAGAGAAAAGCCACAAGAATGACTGAAGGATAGAAAACGTCTTATAGCAATTGACTGAAAGAGCACAATATATTTAGTTTAGCAAAGAAAAGATTTTTCGGGTGACTCTAAATACCAGCACAGGAAAGAAATATTTAATACTAGGCTCTTCAATTGATCAGAGAAAGGTATAACACAATCCAATTGCTGAAAGTTGAAATTACACAAATTCAGACTGGAAATATAGTGTAAAGTTCTAATTACTCTGACTGTTAACTATTGGAACAACTTACCAAGGATCATGGTGGATTCTCCATCACTGACATCAAGATTGGACATTTTTCTACAAGATGTGCTATAGGAATTATTTTGGGGAAGTTCTGTGTTATACAGGAGGTCAGACTAGATGATCACAATGGTCCCTTCTGGCCTTGGAATTTATGAATCTATGAATCACTTAGTGTAGTTTTGATAGAATTTCCTAGTTATTCGTTTAAAAAAATAAAAATAAATTTTGTAATCTGGATCTATTTTTAAGACATTTCCAGAGTCTCCTGTCCTGAACCAGGTGCAAACTCAGTGAGGCAACTGGCCTGATTCTGAGCCGAGTTCCACTGTTATGAATCCAGAGTTACTATCATGCTAAGCCCAAATCAAAGCTGATTTTCACTGAAAAGCACTTCTCCTCCCTAAGGACTATTTACTTGCCAAATATCAACTTGCTACCCCAAAATGTTTCTGTGCTATAACTGTTCAGAGAAAATATTTCACACCCATTCTCCTTGTTTTTAAAATAGCTCAATAACCTTTTTGCTTACAATTAAACAAAACAAAAACCAATCAACTAAAATAAAAGCAAATTGGGCTTCAAAAATGTCACCCCCAAAATTAAATGTTTTGGAAAGTACAAGGAATTAAAAATAAAAGACTAAGATGGAATACTTTGAGAACCATAACTGTAGTACACCGCTACCTCGATATAACGCGACCCGATATAACACGAATTTGGATATAAAGCAGTGCTCCGGGGGGGCAGGGCTGTGCACTCTGATGGATCAAAGCAAGTTCAATATAACGCAGTTTCACCTATAACGCGGTAAGATTTTTTTGCTCCCGAGGACAGCATTGTATCAAGGTAGAGGTGTAATTGCAAACTTGTGCTCCTCCTGTCATGTTCTGGCTTTATTATTTCCAGGTCCGCATGATCATTTTTTCAAATTGAAAAAAAGGAAGAGAAGTTTTGATTATCTTCCAGATTAGAAAATGCTCATATGCTCTTCGCATATTAAAGAGTAACTGAAGTGAACTATCTGAAAAACACTTACCGTGTCTGCAGCATGAGTACCACCTTTTGTTGTCTGTCCTTTTCTGGAAGACCTACGATACAAAACAAATGCTATTTGGACAACACAGTGTGTGAACAAGTTGAAATTGTAATTATTTGCATGGTTTTGAGAAGATGCTTATTAAAATCTATCAAACTACCTGTGCTACATGACAGAATATTAATGATCTATGTAATCAGGTTTCTGAATTTCAGATTAAACCAGTCTAGGTGAATGGGTTGCTCTTTCTCCTTCAGTAACTGGCATCAGTGTGCAAATACTGGCTTGTGCCAGCCTCTTTCTCTCTGGAATTCCTCACTCCAGGTTTTCCATAGCACTTCATATAAATGTTGATCCCTGAAAGGGGACTGATGCTAAACTGAGGTTTGGCCAGGGGGAAAAATGCCAATAAAACCACCTAAGGCACCAGAGCAGCCTACCGGCTGTGGAAGACTGCAGGCAGAAGGGAAACTGAGGCAGCTGAGGTACTCAATGCTAGATCAGATAAGATGCTCCTCCAGCCACACACAAGTGTCTTATTAAATCTGCAGGCCGCATGCTACTATAATAGATCCTGAACAAACTAAAATACTCTGATGACCAGGGAAGCTAGTCTCTGGACTGTACTAGGTGAATTTTAGAAATAGAATAATCATATCTTTTTTCTTTATTGAAAGAAACAGAACATTAGATGGTGTGGAGATCCCATCAGATTCTGAGCCTATCATCCCTTTGTCATTTTATCTTTTTAGCTGTGTGTAGCCTCCCTCCGAGACTGGCAGGGAGGGACAGCCATGCACCCACACATTGTGTAACCTGAACTCTGCATTAACTTTATTCTACATTGAATTTCCTTTCTTTAAAAAAAAAAACAAAAATGAATTTCTCTCTGCTTAGTAATAGCATTTAAATGGTCTCAATTAGGCACTACAGTGCTAACATCTATGAGGAAAACTGGGGAGGTAGACCAGCTCCCACTTATGCTGCTACTAAAGCCAGTCAAATGTTTTCATGTGGAAAGTTTTCCAGCAGAAAAAATGAAAGGTTTTGTTCTCACTGAATTTTTTGCAGGGAGACTTCAATTCTGATGGAAAAACATCAATCAGGATTCATCAGGTGTACATACACAGCTTTATTGATTTCTGCAAGTGAAACATTCTTTGACAGAGCTAGGGCTGTAGACTGATCTGGTAGAATGGGCTGTAGCTCTAGGAGGGGTCTTGGAATTAGCAATCTCATAAAATAAAATTCAACCAGAAGCCCACTCGGAGAGTCTTTGGGTTGAGACAGGGGATTCTTTAACTCTGTCTCTGAAAGCAAAAATCTGGGGGATACCCCCAAAGCATTTTCCTATCTCTAGATAGACAGGAGAACTTTGATTTTCTAAGGTGTGAAGAGCAGTTTCTTCCCTGCAGTGGTGAGATTTAGATTAAAAATGGATGGGATGGGTTACTCACCTTGTAGTAACTTGAGTTCTTTGAGATATGTTGTCCCTATGTATAGTGCACTTCAGGGTTGTGCATGTGCTCCATGCACCCAGGACTAGAGATTTTTCCCTCACAGTGTCTATCTGGGTCCATCCATGCACCCCTGCTCTTCTCATGCTCTGCACTAAGGGAATAAAGGGGGCTGCCAGATTGCTACCATTTTTGTTCCTTCTCTATTGGTAGACCCCCAGGAACCTAGGCAGTGGAGAAGGCGGGCAGGTAGTGCACTACATACAGGAACAAAACATCTCTGATAAATAATCTCCATACTGCTGGTCCCAGGGTGGACTTCTCCAAGTTCACCTTGAGATCTAGCCTTCTGAACAGATCTAGGAACATGGTGTTTGCTTCCTGTGTTTCCTGGTAAGATTGTCTCTTTAAAAGCCAATCGTCCAAGTAAACTGCCATCAACTACAGTACTTTGGTGAAAACGTTCTGACCAAGTCATTCTTTAGTCTCACTCCTTTCAGGGTAAGTCAGTGTGCACTCCAGTCACAGTCTTGCAGCCTTGTTCCAGGGTTCTAGACTGACTCTAGGTCCACTAGGCCTTATGACACTTATCCAGAGCCTTTGTTAGGGTTTTCCCTTGGTGGTCTGTAGGGGAACTCAGTCCCACCCTCTATCCTCGGTTACAGCCCTAAGGTCCACTTCCTCAGACCTCCTGCTTCTTTCATGGACATCTTCCTACTGTGGCCTGCTTAAAAATATTCTTCACTATCCCTCTTAAGGCCTCAAAAGAAAGGTAACAAAGGAAAACATAATAAAAAATAGTCCTAACATGTCCCTGGCCTCCGTCCTTTCAGGATATACCTGATAAGCCGTAGCCCAGCTCAGTATCCTCAAGGCTATCCAGAAATGTTTGCAGAAGCCCCCTGGCAGTGTCATCCTCCACAATACTCCTTCTTGGGAACTAGCGGGGAGTGATATGTCCACCTCCTATGGCTGGGTCTTTTTGAACTGGGCTTCTCCCTTTTTAAACTTCTGCTCCAAGACTGGCATGCCTTGCAGGTGCAGCATGGTGGGGCTGCCTGAGGCCCAAACTGCATTAACCCCTTCTTGCCTGGTGTGGGGTTTGTACACTCCATCACAGGGCAGGAGACAGAAAGATATGGGCATGCTTTCATAGCAGGGATAAGGGGAGGGGAATCCAGTTTTACTGTGAATCAATCAATTTCAGAAACAGCTAGCTTGGATGAAAAAGTTCCATGAATCTGAAGAGAAGTCATGAGCTGCAGGGGAAAGATCTGGGACACCACAGAAAACTCTGCCGAACACCAAAGAAAATTCACAGTGGTGAGGAATGTGACACAGGGAAATACTTTTTGAGTGTCTGTTACTTTGTATAATTCCGGGTTTCTCATAAAAACGGCCACACTGGATCAGACCAAAGGTCCATCTAGCCCAGTATCCTGTCTTCCGACAGTGGCCAATACCAGGTGCCCCAAAGGGAATGAACAGAACAGGTAATCATCAAGTGATCCATCCCCTGTTGCTCATTCCCAGCTTCTGGCAAACAGAGGCTAGGGACACCATCCCTGTCCATCCTGGCTAGTAGCCATTGGTGGACTTATTAGTTCTCTCATACTACTAAATAAAGAGTAGTGGCGTTTTGGAATGCTGTGCAAAGTCTGTGTATGTCTATTGGCTTTCAGTAGAGGTACCCCTGAAGAGGTAAACTGTAAACCAGAAAACTCAGTGGAATTCTGGGGAATGTGCAAAAGCTTTTGGGAAACTGCACTAGTTTCATGACCTAGACATTTGGATTGCAGGGGTCACCTCTGCCAAGAATGGTGTCAGACTTGAGGTCTGCTCCAGGAGTGTGTGGCTAGAAGCACAAAGCCAGGAACAGAGTTTAAGATCAGCAAGGAAAGGGCACATGGGATTGAATGTGTAGATTAGAACTGGGCAAAAAGAGGAAGTGTGTGTGTTTGTGGGGGGTCTCTTTTTGTTAACATTGTCATTGTTTTGAGAAAATTTAATCCCAAAAGTGGACAGAATGTCAAAACCGCAAAAAAAAAAAAAAAAAAAAAAAAAATTGCAGAAAGGACTTTGCAGAAAAAAATCCACTTTTAGACAACCAAAATGTATTAGGAAAGTGGGGAGGCAGAGCCTCTGATGCTCTGCCTGTCTGTCCTCTTGGAGCTAAGGGAAAGGTGGGAAGGTAAAGCACAGCAGTGCTGTCCTTCCCCATCCCCTGGCACAGAGGGAAAATGGTGTTTGATTAAGGCTTAGCTGAATCTGTACTAGATTTGATGAAACATTTAATTCTGCCTAATTGGCAGAAAATTTCTAACAAGCTCTAGTTTGGGTTTCCTCACAGCAGTCTGGAAAGCGTCCAGCAGGGGGGAGCCCAACCAGATTTGTGGCAGCATCCTAGGCTAATAATGGACCAGCTTAGGAAATGTAACAGAGGTGCTTTTGCAGGTGGCCAGCAATGCATGGCAGGCTTACAGCCAAGTGTAACACTGGGGGAGCTGGGATTAGAATTAAGTGTCACAATCTTATCATATAGTGTAAACGTGAATGAAATTTTACTTACCTGCTAAAGATCCGAGCAATTTGAGCTCTTTTATGCACGGCAAAGCTGAGAACCACAAGAAGAAGAAGGATGCTTCCAATTGCTACTCCCATAATGACAATGTCACTACTGGACACTTGGAAAGAAACAAACATGGAACATTACACTTTGTTTGCACTTAAGACTTACTCATATAACTGTAACAAACATTTCTGTAGAAACTGAGGCTTGTCCCTGTATCAAGTGTGCATGCATCACACACACATACAGCTATCTCATATGTACATTATCTAACAATGCCAGCAAAGAGGGCCTCCAAATTTATTTTGTCTGTACACAAGGTGCCAGCATTGCTGTGTGTTTCTGCTGTGTATTACCCCTAATCATGGAGACTATGTGTTGGCAACAGCTGGGCAGGCATGATTGGCATATTGCAGAGTTACATGATTGGCATATTGCACATGAATTAGTGGTGTAATATAGCTTTCCTCCTCCCCGCAAAAAAAGACGAATGCAGTTTCAGGCTGCATATGTACAAGCATCCAATCTTGGAGCAAGGTGGGAATACTTCTTTCTATATTGGCCTGGAGTGACCACACCTAGAATTGTGTTCATTTTTCAGCACTACAGTAACTGAAAGATATTTAAAAATTAGAGGGAGTAAAGAAAAAAATAACAAAACTATCAGGGATCTTAAGGGCTTGATTCATAAGGAAAATATAACAGAGATAAAAACTTACAGCTTGATTGAGCAATGACTAAGAGGGAACATGACAATAGTCTACAATTATGTACACATTCTCAAATGAGAATGATCTGTTTCTGCCAATCATGGCAATTCAACTGGAGTACCCCAGCAACTGGTAGCTGCCACTGTGAGAGAGGCAGTCTCTCAAACACCTGGGTCCCAGGCTATAGAGCTTTAAAAATTATACCAACATCCAGAACTGTAGCCACAAACGAACAGATATCCAGTACAGATCACACAACATGACTGTGATATGCCAATACTGTAGCCCTAAGGATTAATTTGCTTGTCTATATAAATATATCTTTCTTTTAAATTTGAGTATTTGATGTATTAGGCTTATAGATTTTATATTAAAAGTAAGTTTGGCTGTAATGCAAGAGACCTACCTACAGGCCAAAACCCTGTATGTTAAGCTAATGCGAAGTTAACAACTTTTGAGACCCTTACCCAGAAAAGTAAAATTAGACAAAACACTCACTCAGATGTCTAGAGACCTTTACCTGGACCAATAGCAATAAAGGGTGGAAAAAGGGGGTTTTGCCCACAAGTCTAACAGATACACCACAAGTGCGTACATACCTGTCATCCATACGCACATACATACTAGCCTATGGGATAAGTGTACCCTAACATTTCCGTGGGGGAGGAATGAAATTTGGGCATAAGAGGAAGGATTTCCGATTAATGTCCTATAAAAAGGCGAGGCAGCTCGCCATTAGACAGGCAATCTACCCACCTATCTGCTCCTGTCTACTCTTCATTGCCTCCACCTTCAACTACATATCGACGACTATTAACTATTGATAGGCCGTTCTTCATTTCTTTTAAAACTGTAAATTAAAAAGGGATTTAATCTCCCTTATGTTTTATTTTAGTTAAGCCATATAGAGTTAAGTTAGAGAGCAAACAGCTCTGCAGTAGCTTCCTCTGCTAGAGGTGTGAAAACGCCCAAGGTGTTGCCAACACCAGGTTATCAAAACAGGGTGTGAGTATTAATCAATTTTGCAGCTTATAATCTTATATTCATATATATATATATATCTTAAAGAATTGTGATAAGTGTAACTCTGTAATTCTAACTGTTTTACCATTTGCTTACTATCTTCATTGATTTTAATAAAAAGGTCTTTATGACTATATCTGTCTCAGTGTAAACTTCCTGTCATACCCCCGAAGTTCCTTTATAAACTGTGTGAAGCCTGATTCAGGACGAACTTTATCTTCTGATCAAACAAATTGGTGAGCCGAAACCCATACTAATGAATATCAACAATAATCATCATTAAAATTATTAATAAATTAATTAAATGAAATTAAATTAAGTGGATAAATTAAATCAACCCTACTAACACACCCCAAATCAGGCTACAATACATAACTTACTCAGTTCAAGAAGAGACCCACTGTATTCTACACATACCACCTTCTGTGGGCAGATTCAGACCCACAGGAAGCATGGAAGCTACAGTGCAACTCCATGGCAAAGGAGTATATGGGCTAGACAGGGTCCCCTCGGTGACCATCCCATGGACATAGAAAAGCACGTCTCTATGGCTCTGGCACTAATACTCAAGGCACCACAGGGGAAAAGAATTCTGGGAGATACATACACTGCAGAGCAACAGCCTTCACTCATGTCTCTGGCTGCTGCCAGCTATCTCCATTATGTCAGTAGCACCAGAGTATGTGTAACTGCATATTTGTGCAGGAGAGAGGGGATTACATGAAGGTGTGTTCAAGTTGGTGGAGGAGAGGCTAGGAATTGCTGTGTTGAGGGAGAAAGAACATTTACTGACCTTAAGGTAACGGTGGTTCTTCAAGACATGTTGTCCACATGTATTCCACTTCTGGTGTGCGTGTGCTCCACGCACTCAAGACAGGATTATTTTGGCCAGCAGTGTCTCCTGAATCTCCAGTGTCTTGGCTATACCTTGGCCAGCCCATCTCCCCCAAGGGTTTAAAGGTTGGACTGGGCCAAACCATCCCTCAGCTCCTTCACCAATACAGAATCCAGCTGTTGTAGGATTCCATAGAAGTGGGGAAGGAGGGCAGGTCATGGAATACATGTGAACATCACATCTTGAGGAACTACAGTTACTGTATACAATGTAACTGTTCTTTCTTCTTTGATGTTTGCAGTGTTGTTGTAGCCCTGGTGGTCCCAGGATATTAGAGAGACAAGGTGGGTGAGGTAGTATCTTTTATTGGACCAACTTCATAGACTCATAGACTTTAAGGTCAGAAGGGACCATTATGATTATCTAGTCTGACCTCCTGCACAACGCAGGCCACAGAATCTCACCCACCCACTCCTGTAACAAATCCCTAACCTATGCCTGAGTTATTGAAGTCCTCAAATCGTGGTTTAAAGACCTCAAGGTGCAGAGAATCCTCCAGCAAGTGACCCGTGCCCCACGCTGCTGAGGAAGGCGAAAAACCTCCAGGGCCTCTGCCATTCTGCCCTGGAGGAAAATTCCTTCCCGACCCCAAATATGGCTATCAGTTAAATCCTGAGCATGTGGGCAAGACTCACCAGCCACCATCCAGGAAATAATTCTCTGATGAAAGAGACAAGCTTCTTCAGGAACTGAGTAAGAGCTCTGGATAAGCTTGAAAAGTTGTCTCTTTCAACAACAGAAGTTGGTCCAGTGAAAAATATTGCCTCACCCACTTTACTATTTTGAGTAATTGTGCACATGTATTCCCTGCTTCTGGTGACCCACAAGCCATGACCTCATAGACAGGAGGCCGGTGCTCAGAAACTACCTAAATAAAGACTGAAGGATAGCTTTGCCAAAGTGGGCATTAGATCTTGAGGCCTCAAATAGGGAATAGTCAGGGACTAGACTGTCAGTTCTCATAGCATGGGGAAAAATTCTGGGAAGGTTAGACGAATAGCCCTAGCACATTTATGTGAAAGTGAGTTTCTTCAGGAATCTAGTGGGTTTGCGTTTGAACGTGGTCCAGGTGAGCTCCCCAGCCAAGTGCGGGAGCATCCATCACCAGCTTCTTGGTAGGTAGAGGTGGAGAAAATGCTACTCCTTTGCATATCTGGAGAAGATCCTTCCACTAAGATAATGATGAGAGAGGACTTCTTGGCAGACCTGCACCCTCATGTCAATGTCTGTTGAATAGATATAACAATTTTCCAATTTTGATGATCCTTGCATGCAGCACAGGTAAAAGCTGGCATGCTGTGTTACATATATACAGGGGAGCATGTGACTAAGAATTCTGAGACAGACTCTTTCTCCAGGGTTTGAGGATAAGCCAGTCATGAGGACAGGCTAGTGATACCATTCTGAACTTGAAATGGTGGGTGAAGGCACTTAGCCATCTAAGTGCAGGAGTAGATGCCAACCCCACTTCTTCCCCAGGACTGGAAAATACTGTGAATGTAACCCCAAGGTTACCCCTAGGTTCCCGGGGCTCTGTGTGCTTGTAACTCAGGGACAGCCATGCTATCGCTGGGAGGAAGGGGAAACCCAGGGCAGAATCAGAGTCTACTAGGCAACCAAGAGGAAGAGAGGAGAGACACTTTACAGCGACAGGGGCCCCTGTTGGCTCTGGGAAGGATTAGAGTTGAGCCAGCTCAGAGGAGGAGCATTGCCTGAGAGAAATGTGTGTGTGTGTGGGGGGGGGGGGGGGGACAGACAAAGTCAAATGAGTGACAAGTGAAAGAGCTAGTTTGACCAATAGGAAGTGAGATGTCCACACTGGGAACACTGTGAGAGGGGAGAAGCTATTCTGGAGTACTTTGGAGCCAGCCACAGAAAGCGAAGGACTTGCTGTGTGGTGAGCTGGTGAGTCGCAGGCCTGCATGCAGGATTTCCTCTGAGAACTGGCCTCCTGGGACCTGGTAGCAGCATCCCTCAGCTCGGTCCATTCCCTCTTCAAGGTGAGTTCCAGTTTAAAGAATTTTACTGGGAAAACCCCCCACCCAGCCAGGCTGAGTTAGTGCTTCAGCTCCCTAGGTAAAATCAATCACCACATGGTAAGTTTTTCTCTGGCTGCTAGTCCAGGGTTGAGCACCTGCTGTGAGCGTGTCTGAGCACTAGGGTAGGAGGCTAAAGTTAGGATTTTAGTATAGTTATTGTAATCGGAACTTTGAACCCTGCATAAGAACATAAGAACGGCTGTACTGGGTCAGACCAAAGGTACATCTAGCCCAGTATCCTGTCTACTGACAGTGGCCAATGCCAGGTGCCTCAGAGGGAGTGAACCTAACAGGTAATGATCAAGTGATCTCTCTCCTGCCATCCATCTCCACCCTCTGACAAACAGAGGCTAGGGACACCATTCCTTACCCATCCTGGCTAATAGCCATTAATGGACTTAACCGCCATGAATTTATCCAGTTCTCTTTTAAACGCTGTTATAGTCAT